ACAACCTGAGCCTCTACTTCTGGAAGTGGTGTACAGTTAGAAAGAGGATCGGAGGGGGGAATACTGAACGTTGGTGATCTGTGCGCACCTATGTGCACGGTTTGTAACTCACAGACCTCCCATATTGCAGAGTTTACATGTGATCTTAACTGATTTTCCCTTAATTGCACCTTTTCTCAGATTGTTTTGAAGGTGAAAAGTGGAGGAAGAGAAAAATTTTGCAAATTATTAGCTACCTTTTCTAGGCATATGAACTAAGGGAAATGGTTCAGTTTCTTAACTTGTGGTCTATCTTTTACATTGACCAAGTGGTTGTTAATGACTCTTCAGCTGTTGTCACTGTGTTTGAGAAGAGTCCCTGTCGTTCTTGGAGCTCTGGAGACACGTGGGAAGTGTACCTACCGTTCTACCGCCTTACTGTGCCGGCTGTCACCCTGTACCTGCACTGTAAGCCTGGAGAGTCCCCAAGGGGTTTCACCTGGAACATTCTGCTGTCTGCTTCCTGCCACTCAGCTCTTAGCTCAGCTATCATTTCCTTACCGAAGAGCTTGCTGGTGTCTCTCCCTGTCACCTCGTTCCTATTTTTACCATAACACTTACAGCCATTGGTTACATTTGTACTTGCTTATTATCTCTTTTCCTTCAGAATACTCTGTAGGAATTCTACCTTGTTTAATGATAGCTCCCCATCATTCAGAAGGGATTAGTAAAATTTTTTTTTTCTCTAAAAGGTTGGATAACAACTAGTTTAGGCTTCATGAATCAGTGTCTATTGCAAGCACTCAACTCTGCTCTTGTAACCAGTACAGTCATAGTTGCTATGTAAATAGTTAACAAAGCTATGTTCCTTTATTTGTGGACAGTGAATTCTGATTTCACAAATCATAAATATTCTTCTGATTTTCCATCTACTTAAGTATGTAAAAACTAATAGTGCATATTTATTCTAAAAATGAATGAAGCAGAATTAGGAAATTTCTTTTCCTTTTTCTTTCATTCATTTTTGTTTTTGGTTGCGGTGGGATATGTGGACAGAGCCCAGGGCCTTGTGCATGCTAGACAAGTGCTTTACCATTGAGTTGCACCATCAGCCCCCAAAGGGGGTAAAGTTTTCACACAACAGAATTTTAATATATTTATTACTAAAGTTGAAAGACAAACTATTCCTCTAAATTAATTCTGAATAAATAGAACATTATAGAAGAAAGAGAATAATGACCTTTTAAAAAATTTTATTTAAGGAGAAAAAGAAAAAAAAAACAAAAAGGGTACAAGTTATACAGAATTTCAGAAAGAATAAACAGTAGGGAATCACTAGTTAATAGATTACATATTGTTATCTTAGAAATAGTTGTTCAAGTTACAAAATTAAAGCATATAAAGTGGTGTTTCAAACAGTGAGTCTGCAAACAGTTTTGTTCAATGATCCAACAAAACTCAGTAATATGGTTATCTATTTTATACACTTAAACATATATGCAGTTATATCCTTCAGAGGTTTCTTTTCCTCTCTTTTGTACAGTGACAATTACACATTTTGGGTTTTATTACTCCCACAGTTCTTATTACTTTTTTTTTGAAGAGAGTAAAACCAAATGTGACATAACAGAACAGAGTCAGTCAAATCAAAAGGATGGACATAATAGATAATATAAAGACAAAATACAAGGTGATCAACAATGGTTATCATACTGCCTCTTGCTATCTTAAAAAGAATTGCCTATATCATCAGTTATAATAAAATTGAACAAGACAGTAAAGAATAAAACCAAAACATTGGAGACATTACAGGACTTTAAAAGGAGATAATAGTCAACCAGAATGGGCATCACAATGAATCTTGTGGTCTTTACAGTTGTTGCCTATACTTTCGAAGTTAGTACTATCAAGCAAAGCAGAATAGGGGAAAATCAGTCAAAACAAGATGGTGAGGGCAATACAGGGTTTCAAATCAAGTTAATAGGAAATCAAAGTGGGTTAATATAATGTATCCTGCTTTTTTTATTTTTCCTTAATTAAAAAAATAAACAAGTAAATAATAAAATGGAGATTGAGATAAAAGAGGGCATAACAACAAAACAGCGCAGGGCAAAACATAACCATTTAAGAAAAATAGTGTTTCACCACAAGATATCCTGACATAAAAGTAGTTTCTATAGTGTCTCTTTCCTTGAAATCTTTGAGTATAACTTTGTATACTGTAGCATCAAACATATCAAGACAATGTAAAACCATTCAAGAGAATGATAGTATTACAGAGTATTTAGAATCAACTATCAGAAAATGAACAATGGTTTCTGTGTAATCTCCTTGTCTATAAAAGTTTTTGTTTATATTATCACATATAATAAAATCCAATAAGATACAACCTATTAAGACCGATGGAGACAGAAGAACAAAAGCTTGATGGGACTTCAAAACAAGATGATGTTATTTTTTTTTTGTTTTTTTCGTTTTTTTCATTTTTTATCGGTACCAGGGATCAAACTCACGACTGCCTGCTTGCAAGGCAGGCGCTTATGCCACTGAGCTAAATCCCCAGCCCCAACAAGATGATGTTAAATCAGCTCTAGCAATTATGATGTCTTGTGTTCTCCAAAATAGCTGTTCCTACCATCCAATCTTCTCTGCCTCACTTCTGTTGAGATCTTTTTCTGTCATTAGTTGTCAGTTTGTCTTCTTCATTTAGCTTTCTGCTCCATTCATTGTGGCCTCTCTGCTACTGTTTCTGGGATCTTAGTATTTTCCTTGTTTAGAATATCCTGCAGTATTCTCTGTAGAGTTGAATTGGTGGTTGCAAATTCCCCTAGTTCCTCTTTATCCTGGAAGCACCTTGTTTTTCCATCAATTTCTAGGGACAGTTGTGCAGGATATATCAATCTTGGCTGGAGATTATTATCTTTCAAAGCTTGAATTATTTCCCCTCACGCTCTTCGTGATTTGATGGTTTGTGCCGAGAAGTCTGCTGTAATTCTGATGGGTGTTCCCTTGTAAGTGATCTGTTTCTTGTCTCTGATGGCTTTTAATATTCTGTTCTTATATTGGATTTCTGGAATTTTGATTATTATATGCCTGGGTGTAGCTCTGTTTGGGTTGTAGGTGGCTGGCGTCCTGTATGCCTCATACATCTGAGTATCTTTACCTTTTGCTAAATTAGGGAAATTCTCTTGGATTATTTCTGTGAATAGCTTTTGTAGTCCATTTGCTTGTGTCCCTACTTCTTTTATGTTCTTAATTCTTAAGTTATAGATCCTCTTATCATCTTCTAGCCTTTGTATTATTGCTGTTTGTTTACTTGTTATTTTTAAGAAGTTTTTCATTTCATGCTCCCATATTACAAATCTGCCCTCCAATTCAGATAATCTATCCTTAGTTTCTTTCAAGCTGTTATGCCAGTTTTTGATAGAGTTTTTAGTTTCCTGGTAATCTCTTTGAACCTGCTTCATGTATTCTATGTTTTCTCTATTTTCTCCATCAAACAATGCTCCCCTTTTTTCCTGTTCTTCCATTCCACCATCTATTTTTTCTTGGGCGGTGCTTAGCATTTCTCTAAGTATTCTACTTATATCTTGCTTTATTTCATTAAATACTTCTCTTTTGAACTCATCTATGTGGCTCCGGAGATACTGCTTTTTTCTATTGGTGCCGTGTCTGATAATGCATGTTTTCTTTCCTCATTCTCCTTTGCATTTAACTTTCCTGGATCAATGTTCTCAGGATTGGGGACTGAGGATCCTTTCTTGTTGCTCCCTCTTCCCATACTTTTTGTTCCTTCCATACAAGCGAGTATAGGAGGCCCATTTTTTTTTCTCCCTGTCGGTTACAGTTTGTTTGAATAGCTGGCTATGTGTTCCCACCCACTGCAGTGTACTAGGGAGACACAGACCTGGGCAGCCTCTGCTAGGCCCGCCACTCCAGGTCAACCTACTGAAGGCTTCACTGCTAGGGTGCACCTCCAGGCACTGGGACCTTGTTTGGGCTTAGCCTATTGGATCTTAGTCAGAGGCATCACCCAGGCCAGGCACTCCCCACCAGTCCCACTTGAGAGGGGAATATGAGACTAAAGTCACTGCAGCATCCTGTTCCGGCTAGTCTGCCCGGTCCCAGTATGTCCTTTGCTGGAGCCTCCTACTCTATGGAAGGGTCCCCGTTCTGCTCACTCACCGCAGGTCAAGGTAGGGCTCCCTGCCAGTCCTGCTCTCAATTCCGTTCACAGGTTCCCACTCTCAGAGTTTTCACTTGTCTCTCTCCTTGCTGTGCCGATTCAGACCCAGCCGTGGCAGCAGGAAATTCAAATCACGGCTTCCAGTGGCACGGGCTCCAGCTTCCGCGCTGAGACCTTATCTGTTCCTGTTATAGCACCGGGATTGTGTTTCCAGTTGGTTTCTCTTAGCTTAGTTTGTTCCTGGGTCGGCAGGGTACATCTCCCCCTGCTTAGGACTCCTCGCACCACACCATTCCTGGACTCTAAGCAGGGTATCTCAGAGAGCCTCCGTAGCTGCTGCTATCTCTCTGCCATGTTCTCCCAGAAGTCGAGCATCATGACTTTTATATCTTCTGATTTGGCTTGCCTCTCGGGGTTTGTGTTACAATCTTAGACATGCAAAACTTTTAACTTCCTATGGTGATCAGTAATATGCATCAATGAGGTTTGAGATTATGCTTAGTGGCTCTCCCACAGAGTGCTATCAGATAATAATAAAAGCAGCATTCAGGCAAAACTCAAGCACTCATGCAGCCATTTACTAATCAAATATTTGGTCAGCAAGTGGCCCAAAGCAGTTCTTTCAAACTTTATGTAAACCCAGTGATGCCCTACTGCTCTGTTCTTTTAAGAGCTTTGATTTATTGTTTGTAATACTCATGACTGGGTAATTTACGAAGTGAAGAAATGACTTTCTCACATATCTGGAAACTGAGGAGTCTAAAATGAAGTAACAGATCCATCTGTCGAGTGAGGCCTTATTTTAAGATGTGCTTTTTTGCTCTGTCTTCTGGAGGAGAGAAGAACTGCCCTCACATGGCCAGAAGAGGAAGGCAGGAGCACTGAATGCTGCATGAAGTTTCTTCTGCAAGGACCTTAACTCCACTCATGTGCCATAAGCCACTGCCTAATTACCTCTTAATGTCATCAGATTAACCATTCAATTTCCACTCCCGAATTTCAGAGGAGATGCATTCGAGTCATAGCATGCATCCTATATGCAAAACATTTTTTAATGGAAAACTTATTGAAAATAGATCTAATATTCTTTCCTTTTAGAATTCCTCTGAATTCTAAGTAATGGCTGGTTATGAGATCAATTAGGGACCCAAATCTTTAATGTCATATCTGATGCTATGTGTTGTAAGCATCTCTGGATTCTTGTATTGTACCATGTTTATGCAAGGACTGGAGCATGTTTCTAAATCATTTGAGCCAATACATATGTTTTGAATAGCTGTAATTTCCTCTTTTAAAATTTAAAAAAAAATTTTTGAGACAGGGTCATATGATGTAGTTCATGTGGGCTTTCAGCTCACATACAGACCAGACTGGCCTTGAACTCTCTTCAGTCCTTGTAAGTGCTGGAATTACAGGTATAAAACACTATGTCCATCTTGAATACCTTTAATTTCACTGTCAGGGATGAATTTTGAGTATTTACATGCCAATTAAAAAGTCACTAAATTACCAATAAAAGTCTAGTTTTGACTAAGTATGCTAATCAGAAAAGTATGATTTACTGGTTTTGATGGCAGAAGGATTTATAGAAACTGTTGCTGGAATGCAGCTGTTGAACTGGAACACTGACTGACTCCTCTGGATGATGTTGCTTGATAGAAAGTCACCTGACTGTTCCCAGAATTAAAGATTAATTGATACTCAGCGTCATACTGATTAAACTGAAGTATTTGTAAACATTGTGATAATCACCTGTGCCCTGACCTTACTACTTGCATCATTCTCAGGATTATGGAGAGTAGCAAACAATTGTAGTATCTCCTTTATTTTACTGTAAATTTACTGTTTTTCTAACTAGACAATATTTTGCAGATTGTGGTAGAGACTGTCAGTTGTAATCCGATGTCTAATTGTCACCTTCTTTCTTTACTAATAGAAGCCCTGAATTTAAATTGTACAGGAGGCTCCTGCTATGGTCTGAATGTTTGTGTTGCTCATGCGTTGAAGCCACATCCCAGATGATGCTGGTATTAAGAGGAAGGGCCTTTGGGAAGCGATGAGTACAGAACCAATGTGGGCTCAGTTCCCCTTTGAAATGACCTGAAGGAGGAGCACCTCTCATGTAGGGGAGCACAGAAGGCTCCACTGTTGAGAAATAGGCCCTTAGCAGATACTAACTCTGCTGTTGCCTTGAGTATTTTATTTCAGCAAACCAAACTGGCTGTGACATCCACCTACAATAAGCGGTATTAACTTCTTGATGGTTTATGTGATGACAAAGTCTCGCCAGTGAACAATGGATGAAACTAATCTGTGTGGTGTTTGTGCTGTGCGCTGAAAAGCCAAGGGAACTCCCTCCACTGCTGCTTGTCTCCTTCCTGCAGGAATGTGGATATGAAGACAGGAACGAAGTAGCCACCTTGAACCATGAGGCGAAAGCCGTGCATGAAAGGGGCTGAGTAACCAGAGGGTCTGAGTGCCCCTTAGTGAGCCGTCGTGCCGGCTGAGGACTGCTGGGCTGAACTGGACGGCAGAAGGATAGAGAAGTACCTTCTGATTGGTTTAAACACTAGGTCTCTCTATTTCAGTATTGGAACTGCTCTGATCTTAGCTAATGCACACTTGTTTTAGAACATTTGGAACACCAAAAAGTATAAACAAACAGACAAAAAAGAAAAAGGCAGAGGGAGGCACCCACAGTTCAATCACCCAGTCAGCCTTGTTGGCTCCCTCTTAGCGGATGCTGTGGTGGGCCTGCCAGACTCTCCTTTAGCTGCCAAGCAAAGAAGATAATTATGAATTGTGACAAGTCTTAGAAGGAAGTAACAGGATGATGAAGGAGACTGTGGCAGGAACTTTAAGTTGGAGGGCAGACATTGATGTGGACCTCACATGTCAGAGAAGGTGGACTGCTTGAGCACATGAGATAACTTAGATTTGAAGTCCAGCTTCCTGAGTGCATACAACCTCCTGACTATGGTGAAAGGCTGAAAATTATACAGTAGAAACAATAAGAATAATTAACAATAATTGCTGTGACTTATAACAGTTACAGAACTCTGTAGAGAAAAGTCTAGCATTGTAAGTTTTCCTTCTCACTATAGCCCAAATAAATATTAATTTCTCTTAAAATTAAATATAATATCTGAATTTAGTAAGACCCATTTTCCAGTAGCCTAATTTCAGGAATTGTTCTGTACATCTTTGAATCAATTTAATTCATTAAATATTTTTTGACTATTTACGATGCGCTGGTCTCTGGTGATAAAATGGTAAATAGAATGGATACTGTCTCTGCCGTATCAGAGTTCACTCATCGGTCTTATTTGATTGCAACTCAGCAAAGTAGTTTTTAACCTCTGGTTCTCTTGACAGTGACATTTCACTCCATTGGTGTTCACATTTTATGTTAAACATCTTTAACTTGTGATATACAATGTACAAAAAACTATATAAAATAGGCCGCAAATTTTAAAATCAGATGAACTTTCACTTACAAAACCTTAAATGTTTACTTGTGTGCTTACTGTAAACTTCTGTTTTTTCCATCTAAATATAACAAAGCAAGCTGAAAGCAATAAAAGATAAAACTTCCGACCACCTTAGATGTTTGTATAGCCGCAGATAGTCTCTGGTTTGGAGGAGCAAAGCAGGCATTCAATCATGCAGTCATACAGCTGGCAGTGGTTCTGAATTTTGAACAGTTTGTTTAATCAAGTGGAAGACTTTTTTTTCGTTTTATTATTTGTCAGTGGTGGCATTACCCATATTGGTGCAGACCTGCTTTTGAAAAACTTGCTAAGGAGACCCAGCCAGACCTTACATAGAAATGGTAAAGAATATTAATATTAAATGGCAACATGGTATTTAACAACATTTAATGAACTGCTGAAAGCAAGTCCAACTCAAGCTAGGAATGAGATGGATGTCTGCCGTTATCACCATTTAACAGTGTTTGGAGAGTTCAAGACAATAGAATAAACAGGCACTACATAGTTAATATTATAAAGCAGGAGGTAGTGATATCATTGTTTTCATTTTATTGCATTGGCTGCCTAGAAACCCCACAAAACAACAGAAAAACTATTAGAATTAATGAGCTCAATAAATATAAAATGAATTTGCATGCTTAAGTAGATGCCTTAGGCGCCAATGCAATGAGTTTTATTTTAAGTGCTACCCTGTCAACTCTTGGATACAGAAGGGAACATGAAAGCTGCTTGTCTGGGTATAGCCTCAGAATCCCGGGTACTGTGGTTTGTCTGATGAGCGTGTGATACAGGCGATAAGAAATGCTGGGAGAATTGAGCCTGCCTCCTGCCACAGTTGCTAGGCTGGGATATCACTGGGCTGTCAGCAGCTTTCCTCCCCTGATGGCGTTATTCTCTAGATCGAGCCATCAGTGAAGCCACATTCAACCAAGGCCCAAGTACCTATGTAATGACTGCACAGTCTAGAGCATAAATGAAGGTCCACAAACCTTGTATTTAAATGGCAACAAAACTAAAAATGCAAGTTAAAATAGTAAAGCTACAGTTTCTATCTGATTTCAAGCTAGCAAAATGTAGCCAGTTATTAGATTTGCCAGGTGTGGTGGCGCAGGCTGTAATCCCACCACTTGGGAGATTTAGGCAGAAAGATTGCCACAAGTTCGAGGCCAGCTTGGAATACATAGTGAATTCAAGGCCAGCTGAACTACGCAATAAGACCTTGTCTCAAAAAACAAAACAAAGCAAAAAGTTACCTGATTTCATATGCACATCTGGATGTTCTGTCAGCATTTTTGTGTAGTAGGATAAAATAATGCATGAGTCATAATCTATAAAATTTCTTTTTGTTTTGTTATGACAAAAAGGCTAATTTTATAATCAAGATATTAACTTCTGTTCAGTAATGATATAAAAATTTTTAAATATTCAGAATATACCCATTTTGATTATATTTTCATAAAAAATAAAACAATTGCAAAAATTTGAAAAATTAATCTGTTTCTTTTCTTTTTTTATTAAGAGACTGTGTAGTTTAGGCTACCTTCAACTTGTTATGGTCCATGCTGGCCTCATACTCATGGTAATCCTCCTGCTTCAGCCTCACAAGTGCTGGGTTAAGGCATGAGCCACCATGCTTGGCTAAATCTGTTTTCTAATAATAATGTTTACTTTAAAATTTGAAACCATCTATTAATAGTCAAAGGTGAACTACAAATTATAGTGAATGAATATCAAGAATATATTTATTTTTTAATTTTATTTTATTTTAAAGAGGATAAAACTAAGGAAAATAGAGCAAAATCAATCAAAACAAACCAGTGTAAGTGACAGAAATTCATAACATTATGAAATCAACAATAGTTACCATAATGCCTTTTGTTGTCTTTGAAATAGCTGCAGATAACTTTGGACATAGTAAAAATCAAACAGAACAGCACAGAATAAAATAGAAACAATAAAAACAAAACAATGAATGCAATAGAGGACTTCAAAACAAGATAATAGTGAATCCAAAATGGTTACTATAATATATCTTGCTATCTTTGAAATAGCTGCACATGCCATTGGATGTAACAAAATCAAACAAAACAAAAGAGAATAAAACCCAACCCAACAACAATGAAAACATCATGAAATAAGACAATAGAGAGTCAACAATGGCTACCACCCTCAGAAGATCTCCACTAGATCCCACTCTGTGTACTGGTGTCCTCCAAACAGATGGTCAGACCAGTGGCCCTAGAGTTGTAAGGTCAGTGAAACACCAAAACACCACAAGCATCAAATTGCGTTTCACCTCAATAGTTATCATCACAGCCTGTGTTTCCCTGGGTCAGCTGGTCCCTTGAGGGAAGGAAGAGAAGTTGGTATTTCTTGTTTGCCAGCCCTTATGCTGGAAGGGGCTGGGGTCTGCTGTCTCCATGCCTGCAGCAGCCCACACTGGCTCTGGTTGGCTGAGAGAGCTTGCTTTTTGGTGAGGCTTTGTTCTCTCCCCTCGCAGTCTGCAAATGGCTCAAAAATTTAAAAAAAATTATTTAAATAAACTTGAATATTTAAAGTTTGTCTTTTGAAATTTTAATTTTGTAACTTAACCATCATATTTTGAGGAAAATAAAATTATTCTTAATTTTAGTATTGTGACCCTCTAGTTATCAATATAAAGAATCAGTACCACATTTTGTGTATGTTACATCAAGACATACAAATTTAGGAGTAATATGGGTTATTTCCATAGAACCACAAATCAGAAAATGAAGAGCAGGAAAATGATAGATTCTTAAACTGTCAGAAATATACTTCCTTTACACATGATTCTGTTGCATTTATTCTCATAGGAAGGGCTTGACAAGGTAATTAATTTTTGTCATTTCTTTCTCCTGAGCTTTTCTATCATTTAGATGCTCACATCAACTGGAAACAAGATCTATGTCAAGGTCACAGTAGTGCAATATTTAGAAATAGTTGTTTTTGTTTTGTTTTGTTTTGTTTTTGTGGATACAGGATGAGCGATAAGGACAAATACCATCCAGGGTCCTGAATAATGCTAGTCACAAGACTGGAGACTTCTAAGTGCCACATCCTGATTCAAGAGGCATCCATGCTTCTCGAATTAATTACTGATGTGTATTTGTATAGTTAAATTTATCAAAAATAAAGTTCCATTCATTATAGAGCCTTACCTGAAAATATCTAAAATTAAGTAAACATGTAAATGAATAGATTATGTGCACAATAAATGTGAAGAAAATTACAAGTCCTTACTGAAATACACGTTAGAAAAGCAGAAAATTTGAATAAATGGCAAGAAATTGTCTGGATGAAAGGTCTTAGTACTACAGAACTATAAATTCATTCAAATTAATTAATGCATTAAAATATTCTAATTGTAGTGAAAATTGTTTCCCTAAAACCTATTCCATGCTAGAGTGGATACTGCGAT